ATAAAACAACCAAATGGTATACTGGTGTAATACAAAAATATCCAATGAAATTGATATCAGTAAATAGTTTAGAGAGGAAGTACGTAGTGATACAACATGCCAGACTCATTCGGTAAACACGAACATCCATGGAGGGCGACGCATCGCATCTCCCGCTACAATATTGGTTACAATCACAGAAATCGTAATAATATTGTATTGTTATTACTATTTCTGCGGTTACAATGCTCGGGTGCGTCGCCTGCACCGCAGCACTGATGATAACGGGATGCAACAACTTTTGTCACCTAATTTGAGAAGGGAAGTGAGAAAAAGTATACACGAACATAATGCACGAATATTATGTATACCAATATTTTTATGTAAAATGGTATAACAGTTACTTTATAACAATTCATAGAATCGGACGTTCATTCGCGTAGGCCTCTTCCATAAACAGCTTCATGGCTAATGTTGTGGCATAATTGCCAAAATTTTTATACATGGCAGAAGCACATTGCAGCTATCTTATGGTTGTAGCTTGATTGGTTCGGCTTGACCTGGGAGGGACCATGATCTCACAGAATACCAGCAGAAAAACAGCTTAATGCTGCTGTGTTTCGTATGGTGAGTGTGGAGAACCGGAGACCCGTTTTACTGGAATCGAGGCATTCCATCTTAATTCTCAAGGTTGACAACGCATCTGCATTTTGATTCATAATCGAGGTTAAATGTCATTAAATGTCTATGGGCCACAGCATTCACTTACCATCATGTGGACTGTGTGATCATTTGTCACCCTTATCCTATAAAAAAAACTTAGCAGGCGGGTTGGCAACCACGCCTTTTATTGTTTTGATTTTTGACGCCCATAACAGTGGGATAGTGAATTCTTTTAAGAATCATGTGAATCAAAATTTATTAGCTATTCGGTGGTAAAAGTAAAAGTAAAGTAAAGTTACAGCCTATATACGTCCCACTGCTGGGCTCAGGCCTCCCCCTCATTTCTGAGAGGGTTTAGGGCAAGGAAGTGTCCACCGCGCTGCCCAAATGCGTGTTGACGAACTTCACATATCTTCGAAATATTTTTTTCTTATTCCTCAGACATGCAGGTTTCCTCACGATGTTTTCCTTCACCGCCGCGCACGTGGTAAATCAGCACTTAAAATTGCAATTAACAATTTCATTGGTGCCGGCGGGGATCGAACTCGGGTTACTCGCGTTCTGTTATATTTACAGCGAACGTTAACCACTGCGCTACCACGGATCTTATTCGGTGGTACTCAAAGATAATGTCGAGAATGAAAATAATTTAATATAAAAAACGAAACATTCCATAAATTTGTTTGATTGTATGTGGACACTATCTAATTAATTTTTTATAATAATAATAATAATAATAAATAATAAGCCATCTTTAACCGTCACAGAGCAAAACCTGGCAGACCGAGTTCGGTATATCTTGCGCTCAAATATATTTGATGTCGCCGAACTCGAACGGCTACGACGTGAGGCTGTTCCCTCGTCGGATGAGAATGCTACGGCTGAGGATGCGGCGCCACAAATGGTAGAGCAACCCGCAAACGTGGATGCCGCCGTAAATACCCCAGTTGTGGTTGATTCAAACGATGATGGAACAGTCGCCCAGGAACTGGAATTAGAGCATATGAGGAGTACATTGGAAGAGGCGATTGTGGAAACGCGCAGTACGCCTCTCGAAAATCGACCGCGACTTCCCCGCATAGCCCTAAGCAAGCGGAATCGGGCTGTCGTGAGGGCTCTGAACCCAATGCTGGTGACCTGTCTGGAAGCAAGCCGGGACCTTTGCGAGACGGACTCAATTCTTTTTGGCGCCGCGCTGGCAGTCTGCCGTATCATAAGCGCCAAAGTTTCCACGGCTGGACGCGCTACTGGCCATAGTAGCGCTATCCCAGCATGGAGAAGAAGAATTGAGGAACGTATCGCAAAGGCTAGAGCTCTCATCGGCAGACTGATATGCTTCAGATCAGGCAACAACAGGCCAAGAATTGTGCGCACCGTCAGGATGGCGTTTGCTGGGACAAATGTTAGTTTGTCCCAGCCGGATATAACGCAAAAACTGACGGAGAGCATAGATGATCTGAAGCAGAGAAACGCTGCTTGGGGAAAACGGATTCGGCGATATACCGAGAGGTCGACACGGTTCAACCAGAATCTTCTCTTCCAGAGTGATCAGAAGAGGCTCTATGAATCATTGGAGCGACCAATGGTAAGTGGAACGGGTCCAGCACCGAATCAGGCCTACCCTGTAGCATTCTGGCGCGGCCTGTGGTCAGAGCACGTAAACCACAGCGAGGGCCCTTGGACGGAAGTTGTGGCAAGTCAGTGTGCGGGTATTACGCCCATGGACCCCGTCATCATAACGCCGGATGACGTAGCTGAGGCGGTCCGTAGGGCCCCGAACTGGAAAAGTCCGGGGCTTGACGGGCTGCATCACTACTGGCTGAAGGGGTTCATGGTGTGTCACTCTGTGCTTGCCCGACAGTTTCAAGAGGCTCTCAACCAGAAGTCCCTCCCAAGCCTCTTCACTACTGGGATCACTCATTTGGTTCCGAAAGACCAGGGTACCACAGACCCGATCAAATACCGCCCCATCACGTGTTTACCGACCATATACAAGACACTAACATCCATTTTGAGCGCGAGAATCACTTGTCACCTGGACTCAAATCAGGTGATGTCCGCGCTCAAAATGGATGTCGGGGCGGTGGTCGTGGAACCAAGGAACCACTCCTCATTGACGCGGTCATTGGCAAAGTGGTGAAACGCAACCGTCGGAACTTCTCCGCCGCCTGGATAGACTACAGAAAGGCATTCGACTCGGTGCCCCATACATGGCTAAAGAGAGTCCTCGACCTGTACAAGATAGACTGAACAGTTAAAGACTTCTTTGAGCAGTGTATGGGGCAGTGGAGTACGATCCTTTGTCATCTGGGCGAGCGGATGATGGCTGCGGAGAACCACATAAGGATAAGAAGGAGTATCTTCCAGGGCGATTGTCTGAGTCCAATCTGGTTCTGCCTCTCTCTGAACCCTCTCAGTACCTTACTGGAGGGCTCCGGGAGGGGGATTTCAGCTACGGAGAGGAGGGACAAAAGTGACCCACCTTTTTTTATATGGATGACCTCAAGTTATTCGCCTGCAGTCGCTCCCATCTTATGGAATTGCTAAACATCACTTGTGAATTTAGCAATTCCATTGGAATGGAGCTTGGGACGGATAAGTGTGCGGTCCTCCATGTTGAAAGGGGAAGGGTTGCTAACTCTGAGGGGGCATAGACTTATCTATGCCCGTCAACTTCAGAACCCTTTCCGAGGCTGAAACATACCGATACCTGGGTATGTCACAGAACATCGGTATCGATGAGGCTGGTATGAAACAGTCAGTTTGCGACGTGTTTTATGCACGCTTGACCAAAGTGCTTTACAGCCTTTTGTCCGGTGTGAATAAGGCACACGCATATAACGGCTGGGTCATGCCTGTCCTCATGTATACCTTTGGCATACTCAGGTGGACTCAGACTGAACTTAACGCCCTGGATAGAAAAGTCCGCACTACCATGACGTCCCATAGGATGCATCATCCGAGATCGTCGGTAATGAGGTTGTACTTGTCGCGGAAGCATGGTGGTCGTAGCTTCTTGAGCGCACTCACCATGCATAATCGCGAAGTGTGCAGCCTCCGTGATTACTTCCTGGCGAGATCGGATGATCCATTCTATATGGACGTCATTTCTTGTGATAAAGGACTTACCCCTCTATCCTTAGCCAACGAGCAATGGCAAGACCCGGCAGTGCAGAGCATTTCCGACCCAGAGACCGTATGGAAGGAGAAGGAGCTCCACGGGAGGTTCTAAAAGGCTCTACATGAGCCTTTCGTAGACACAGTGGCCTCCCTCCACTGGCTACGCTTTGGTGATCTCTTCGGGGGAAACCGAGGGTTTTGTCTGTGCAATACAGGATCAGGTTATTAAGACCAACAACTATCGGAGATACATCCTAAAGGATGGCACCGTCGACGTCCGTCGAGCTTGTAGCCATCCCGGAGAGTCGCTTAGGCATGTTATCTCCGGTTGTTCGGCGCTTTCTAACTCTGAGTAGTTGCACAGGCACAACCTAGTAGCCAGAATTCTACACCAGGAGCTCGCTCTGAAATACGGTCTCGTGGATCGGAAATTGCCGTACTACAAGTACTTGCCGGAAGCCGTGCTCGAAAATGATTGCGCCAGGCTCTATTGGGACCGGGCCATCATCACAGACTGGACTATTCTTGCGAATAAGGCTGATATTGTGCTGATGGACCGGGCACAGTCAAGGATATTTTTGGTTGACATTACCATTCCGTATGACGAGAACCTCGTGAAAGCCGAAACAGACAAGCAAACAAAATATCTGGACCTGGCTCACAAGGTGACCGACATGTGGGGTGGTCTGCCGACCGAAATTATTCCTGTAGTAGTCTCTGCAAACGAGCTAATCCCATTCAGCCTCTCGGGTCATCTGAGGCGGCTGGGACTACGTGGCGGACCACTCCAGGTTCAAATGCAGAAGGCGGTGCTCCTCGATACCGCCCGCATCGTCCGCCGGTTTCTTTCCCTTTCCCCCTAACCCTCGGCCGTTTGGTCTCCCCTGCCGAGGGCCTCCATCTGGTTGGGCTTTTATTTATTTATGTACTTTTAAATTTATTTTATATTATTGATATTTATGTATATTTATCTTTTCATTTTCATTTATAATTATATATTTATAGAACCCAACCAGATGAGAAAACTATATAGATACCCCATAATAACTAATAATAATAAAATCCCCACCAGAAGGCTTGGTGTCGGCTGGGTGCGCTTCTCGGACTCAGCAAGCGGCACCCGCCGCTGGTGGAGCAGGCGTCGCACGCGTTGGTCATAAGCAATGAATGAAAACGCATTGCGGGCGTACTTTAGGGCAAAAGGGGAAGAAACTGGATGTTTGGCGTATCGGGCTAGGATGCATCGTCTCTTTGCTGAGCTGGAGCCATCTTTAACCGTCACAGAGCAAAACCTGGCAGACCGAGTTCGGTATATCTTGCGCACAAATAGATTTGATGTCGCCGAACTCGAACGGCTACGACGTGAGGCTGTTCCCTCGTCGGATGAGAATGCTACGGCTGAGGATGCGGCGCCACAAATGGTAGAGCAACCAGCAAACGTGGATGCCGCCGTGAATACCCCAGTTGTGGTTGATTCAAACGATGATGGAACAGTCGCCCAGGAACTGGAATTAGAGCATATGAGGAGTACATTGGAAGAGGCGATAGTGAAAACGCGCAGTACACCTCTCGAAAATCGACCGCGACTTCCCCGCATAGCCCTAAGCAAGCGGAATCGGGCTGTCGTGAGGGCTCTGAACCCAATGCTGGTGACCTATTTGGAAGCCAGCCGGGACCTTTGCGAGAGGGACTCAATTCTTTTTGGCGCCGCGCTGGCAGCCTGCCGTAACATAGGCGCCAAGGTTTCCACGGCTGGACGCGCTACTGGCCATAGTAGCGCTATCCCAGCATGGAGAAGAAGAATTGAGGAACGTATCGCAAAGGCTAGAGCTCTCATCGGCAGACTGATATGCTTCAGATCAGGCAACAACAGGCCAAGAATTGTGCGCAACGTCAGGATGGCGTTTGCTGGGACAAGTGTCAGTTTGTCCCAGCCGGATATAACGCAAAAACTGACGGAGCGCATAGATGATCTGAAGCAGAGAATCGCTGCTTGGGGAAAGCGGATTCGGCGATATACCGAGAGGTCGACACGGTTCAACCAGAATCGTCTCTTCCAGAGTGATCAGAAGAGGCTCTATGAATCATTGGAGCGACCAATGGTAAGTGGAACGGGTCCAGCACCGAATCAGGCCGACACTGTAGCATTCTGGCGCGGCCTGTGGTCAGAGCCCGTAAACCACAGCGAGGGCCCTTGGACGGAAGTTGTGGCGAGTCAGTGTGCGGGTATTACGCCCATGTACCCCGTCATCATAACGCCGGATGACGTAGCTGAGGCGGTCCGTAGGGCCCCGAACTGGAAAAGTCCGGGGCTTGAAGGGCTGCATCACTACTGGCTGAAGGGGTTCATGGTGTGTCACTCTGTGCTCGCCCGACAGTTTCAAGAGGCTCTCAACGAGAAGTCGCTCCCAAGCCTCTTCACTACTGGGATCACTCATTTGGTTCCTAAAGACCAGGGGTACCACAGACCCGAGCAAATACCGCCCCATCACGTGTCTACCGACCATATACATGACACTAAAATCCATTTTGAGCGCGAGAATCACTTGTCACCTGGACTCAAATCAGGTGATGTCGCGCGCTCAAAATGGATGTCGGGGCGGTGGTCGTGGAACCAAGGAACCACTCCTCATTGACGCGGTCATTGGCAAAGTGGTGAAACGCAACCGTCGGAACTTCTCCGCCGCCTGGATAGACTACAGAAAGGCATTCGACTCGGTGCCCCATACATGGCTAAAGAGAGTCCTCGACCTGTACAAGATAGACTGTACAGTTAGAGACTTCCTCGAGCAGTGTATGGGGCAGTGGAGTACGATCCTTTGTCATCTGGGCGAGCGGATGAAGGCTGCGGAGAACCACATAAGGATAAGAAGGGGTATCTTCCAGGGCAATTGTCTGAGTCCAATCTGGTTCTGCCTCTCTCTGAACCCTCTCAGTACCTTTCTGGACGGCTCCGGGAGGGGATTTCAGCTACGGAAAGGAGGGACAAAAAGTGACCCACCTTTTCTATATGGATGACCTCAAGTTATTCGCTCCCATCTTATGGAATTGCACATCACTTGTGAATTTAGCAATTCCATTGGAATGGAGCTTGGGACGGATAAGTGTGCGGTCCTCCATGTTGAAAGGGGAAGGGTTGCTAACTCTGAGGGCGTAGACTTATCTATGCCCGTCAACTTAAGGACCCTTTCCGAGGCTGAAACATACCGATACCTGGGTATGTCACAAAACATCGGTATCGATGAGACTGGTATGAAACAGTCAGTTTGCGACGTGTTTTATGCACGCTTGACCAAAGTGCTTAACAGCCTTTTGTCCGGTGTGAATAAGGCACACGCAAACCATATAACGGCTGGGTCATGCCTGTCCTCATGTATACCTTTGGCATACTCAGGTGGACTCAGACTGAGCTTAACGCCCTGGATAGAAAAGTCCGCACTACCATGACGTCCCATAGGATGCATCATCCGAGATCGGCGGTAATGAGGCTGTACTTGCCGCGGAAGCATGGTGGTCGTGGCTTCTTGAGCGCGCTCACCATGCATAATCGCGAAGTGTGCAGCCTCAGTGATTACTTCCTGGCGAGATCGGATGATCCATTCTATAAGGACGTCATTTCTTGTGATAAAGGACTTACCCCTCTATCCTTAGCCAACGAGCAATGGCAAGACCCGGCAGTGCAGAGCATTTCCGACCGGGAGACCGTATGGAAGGAGAAGGAGCTCCACGGGAGGTTCTACAAGGCTCTACATGAGCTTTTCGTAAACACAGTAGCCTCTCTCCACTGGCTACGCTTTGGTGATCTCTTCGGGGGAAACCGAGGGTTTTGTCTGTGCAATACAGGATCAGGTTATTAAGACCAACAACTATCGGAGATACATCCTAAAGGATGGCACCGTCGACATCTGTCGAGCTTGTCGCCATCCCGGTGAGTCACTTAGGCATGTTATCTCCGGTTGTTCGGCGCTTTCTAACTCTGAGTACTTGCACAGGCACAACCTAGTAGCCAGAATTCTACACCAGGAGCTCGCTCTGAAATACGGTCTCGTGGATCGGAAATTGCCGTATTACAAGTACTTGCCGGAAGCCGTGCTCGAAAATGATCGCGCCAGGCTCTATTGGGACCGGGCCATCATCACAGACAGGACTATTCTTGCGAATAAGCCTGATATTGTGCTGATGGAGCGGGCACAGTCAAGGATATTTTTGGTCGACATTACCATCCCGTATGACGAAAACCTCGTGAAAGCCGAAACAGACAAGCAAACAAAATATCTGGACCTGGCTCACGAGGTGACCGACATGTGGGGTGGTCTGCCGACCGAAATTATTCCTGTAGTCGTCTCTGCAAACGGGCTAATCCCAGTCAGCCTCTCGGGTCATCTGAGGCGGCTGGGACTACGTGGCGGACCGCTCCAGGTTCAAATGCAGAAGGCGGTGCTCCTCGATACCGCCCGCATCGTCCGCCGGTTTCTTTCCCTTTCCCCCTAACCCTCGGCCGTTTGGTCTCCCCTGCCGAGGGCCTCCATCTGGTTTGGCTTTTATTTATTTATGTACTTTTATATTTATTTTATGTTATTGATATTTATGTATATTTATCTTTTCATTTTCATTTATAATTATATATTTATAGAACCCAACCAGATGAGAAAACTATATAGATACTCCAATAATAATAATAATAATAATAATAATAATAATAAAAAGGCGTAGGGAAGTGACGACCCCATCGCCCGCTGACGAAACAGTTAAGTGACAAAACTGCTACGTCGGTGCAGTCAGTCAGCGCCTTGCCAAGAGGTGTGAGCGCCGTGCCTCGGCAGTACTCAGGGTGCAAAGGCCCGTTTGTGCTTACGGCCGTACAATGATACAATAAAACGGTGCCGGGCCTGGGCGTCTCCCGCTAATTGGCGCCCAAAAATGGATGATGGATAAGATTGGAAAACGTATAGGGCCGCTGCCTGGGGGTCGCCGGGGCGCGTCTGGAGCTGGCGCTGGACGCGGCAGCATGCGGGCCGCCAGCCGAGCGCGAGGAGCTGCAAGATCACCTAACAGCCCCCCCGCATCCATCATCCCCACCAGACGGCTTGATGTCGGCAGGGTCCTCTCGGACTCGGCAAGCGGCATCCGCCGCTGGTGGAGTGCGCCGCATGCGTTGGACAAGGGATATGAACGCAAACGCAATGCGGGCGTACTATAGGGCGAAAGGGGAAGAAACTGCGGGGATAGCGTATCGGGCTCGGATGCATTGCTTTTTTGCTGAGCTGGAGCCGTCTATTCCCGTCACGGAACAAAACCTGGCAGACCGAGTTCGGTACATCATGCGCTCGAAAATATTCGATGATGCCGAGCTCGAACGACTACGACGTGAGGCCATTCCCTCATCGAATGAATTGGCTACGGCTGGGGATGAGGCTCCTCAGGCGACAGACCAGCTGCCACGCGTAGAAGCCGCCATGGATCTTCCAGTTGTGGGTGATTCAGACGATGATGAAATGGTCTCCCACGAACTAGAGCAAATGAGGAGTATATTGGAAGAGGCGATTTTAGAAACGCGCAGCATGCCTCTCGAAAATCGACCGCGACTTCCCCGCATACCCCTAAGCAAGCGAAATCGGGCTGTCGTGAGGGCTCTTAACCCAATGCTGGTAACCTATTTGGAAGCCAGCCGGGACCATTGCGAGACGGACTCAGTTCTTTTTGGCGCCGCAGTGGCAGCTTGCCGTATTATTGGCGCCAAACTTCCCATGGCTGGACGCGCTACTAAACAAAGTAGCGCCATCCCAGCCTGGAGAAAAAGAATTGAGGACCGTATCGCAAAGGCAAGGGCCCTTATCGGCAGACTGATAAGCTTCAGGTCGGGTAATAATAGACCGAGGGTTGTGCGCACCGTTAGAATGGCGTTTGCTGGGACAAATATCAGTTTGTCCCAGCCGGATATCACGCAGAAACTAACGGAGCGCATAGACGACCTGAAGCAAAAGATTGCCGCTTGGGGGAAGCGGATTCGCCGATTTACCGAGAGGTCAAGGCGGTTCAACCAGAATCGTCTCTTCCAGAGTGATCAGAAGAGGCTCTACAAATCATTGGAGCGACCAGAGGTATGTGGAGCGGGCCCAGGACCGGATCAGGCTAACACTGTCGCATTTTGGCGTGGCCTGTGGTCAGAGCCCGTAAACCACAGCGAGGGCCCTTGGACGGAAGTTGTGGCGAGTCAGTGTGCGAGTATTACGCCCATGGACCCCGTCATCATAACGCCGGATGACGTAGCTGAGGCGGTCCGTAGAGCCCCAAACTGGAAAAGTCCGGGACTCGACGGACTGCATCACTACTGGCTGAAGGGGTTCACGGTGTGTCACGCTGTGCTCGCCCGTCAGTTTCAAGAGGCTCTCAACCAGAAGTCGCTCCCAAGCCTCTTCACTACTGGGATCACTCATTTGGTTCCTAAAGACCAGGTTACCACAGACCCGAGCAAATACCGCCCCATTACGTGTCTACCCACCATATATAAGACACTGACATCCATTTTGAGCGCGAGAATCACTCGTCACCTGGAGCTAAATCAGGTGATGTCACGCGCTCAAAATGGATGTCGGGGCGGTGGTCGTGGAACTAAGGAACCACTCCTCATTGACGCGGTCATTGGCAAAGTGGTGAAACGCAACCGTCGGAACTTCTCCGCCGCCTGGATAGACTACAGAAAGGCATTCGACTCGGTGCCCCATACATGGCTAAAGAGAGTCCTCGAGCTGTACAAGATAGACTGTACAGTGAGAGACTTCCTCGAGCAGTGTATGGGGCAGTGGAGTACGATCCTTTGTCATCTTGGTGAGCGGATGATGGCTGCGGAGAACCACATAAGGATAAGAAGGGGTATCTTCCAGGGCGATTGTCTGAGTCCAATCTGGTTCTGCCTCTCCCTGAACCCTCTCAGTACCTTACTGGAGGAATCCGGGAGAGGATTTCAGCTACGGAAAGGAGGGACAAAAGTGACCCACCTTTTCTATATGGATGACCTTAAGTTATTCGCCTCCAGTCGCTCCCATCTTGTGGAATTGCTAAAAATCACTTGTGAGTTTAGCAGTTCCATTGGAATGGAGCTGGGGACGGATAAGTGTGCGGTCCTCCATGTTGAGAGGGGAAGGGTTGCTAACTCTGAGGGCATAGATTTATCTATGCCCGTCAACTTAAGGACCCTTTCCGAGGCTGAAACATACCGATACCTGGGTATGTCACAGAACATCGGTACCGATGAGGCTGGTGTGAAACAGTCAGTTTGCGACGTGTTTTATGCACGCTTGACCAAAGTGCTTAATAGCCTTTTGTCCGGTGTGAATAAGACACACGCATATAACGGTTGGGTCATGCCTGTCCTTATGTATACCTTTGGCATACTCAGGTGGACTCAGACTGAACTTAACGCCCTGGATAGAAAAGTCCGCACTACCATGACGTCCCATAGGATGCATCATCCGAGATCATCGGTAATGAGGCTGTACTTGCCGCGAAAGCATGGTGGGCGTGGCTTTCTAAGCGCGCTCACTATGCATAATCGTGAAGTGTGCAGCCTCCGTCATTACTTCCTGGCGAGATCGGATGATCCATTCTACAATGACGTCATTTCTAGTGATAAAGGGCTTACCCCTCTATCCTTGGCCAACGAGCAATGGCAGGACCCAGCAGTGCTTAGCATTTCCGACCGGGAGACCGTATGGAAGGAGAAGGAGCTCCACGGGAGGTACTACAGGGTTCTACATGAGCCCTTCGTAGATACAGTCGCCTCCCTCAACTGGCTACGTTTCGGTGACCTCTTCGGGGAAACCGAGGGTTTTGTCTGTTCAATACAGGATCAGGTCATTAAGACCAACAACTATCGGAGATACATCCAAAAGGATGGCACCGTCGACGTCTGTCGAGCTTGTCGCCATCCCGGGGAGTCACTTAGACACGTCATTTCCGGTTGTTCGGCGCTTTCTAACTCTGAGTACTTGCACAGGCACAACCTAGTAGCCAGAATTCTTCACCAGGCGCTCGCTCTGAAATACGGTCTCGAGGACCGGAAATTGCCGTATTACAAGTACTTTCCGGAAGCCGTGCTCGAAAATGATCGCGCTAGGCTCTACTGGGACCGGGCCATCATCACAGACAGGACTATTCTTGCAAATAAGCCTGATATTGTGCTGATGGACCGGGCACAGTCAAGGATATTTTTGGTCGACATTACCATTCCGTATGACGAGAACCTCGTGAAAGCCGAAACAGATAAGCAAACAAAATATCTGGACCTGGCTCACGAGGTGACCGACATGTGGGGTGGTCTGCCGACCGAAATTATTCCTGTAGTCGTCTCTGCAAACGGGCTAATCCCAGTCAGCCTCTCGGGTCATCTGAGGCGACTGGGACTCCGTGACGGACCGCTCCGGGCTCAAATGCAGAAGGCATTTGTCCTCGATACCGCCTGCATCGTTCGTCGGTTTCTTTCCCTTTCCTCCTAACCCTCGGCCGTTTGGTCTCCCCTGCCGAGGGCTTCCATCTGGTTGGATCTTTATTTATTTGTGTATTTTTTGTATTTATTTTATTTTATTGATATTTATGTATATTTATCTTTTCATTTTAATTTATAATTATATATTTATAGAAACCAACCAGATGAGAAAACTATACAGATACCCCAAAAATAATAATAATAAAATAATAAAAATAGAAAGGCGTAGGGGAAGTGACGGCCCCATCGCCCGCTGACGTAACAGTTATATGACAAAACTGCGACGTCGGCGCAGTCAGTCAGCATCCTGCCAAGAGGTGTGAGCGCCGTGCCTAGGCAAAATTGTAGATGCAAAGGTCCGTTTATGCATATGACCCAACCACGAAACGGTGCCGGGCTTGGGCGTCTCCCGTTATTTGGCGCCCATAAAATGGATGATGGAAGAAACAAAAAAAGGAACGCGCATAGGGCCGCTGCCTGGGGGGTCGCCGGGGCGCGTCTGGAGCTGGCGCTGGACGCGGCAGCATGCGGGCCGCCAGCCGAGCGCGAGGAGCTGCACGATCACCTAGCAGCCCCTCGCATCCATCATCCCCACCAGAAGGCTTGGTGTCGGCTGGGTCTTCTCGGACCCAGCAAGCGGCACCCGCCGCTAGTGGAGCTCGTCGCATGCGTTGGACAAAATCCATGAACGAAAACGCATTGCGGGCGTACTATAGGGCGAAAGGGGAAGAAACTGTGGGAATAGCGTATAGGTCCCGGATGCATTGCTTTTTTGCTGAGCTGGAGCCGTCTATCCCCGTCACGGAACAAAACCTGGCAGACCGAGTTCGGTACATCATGCGCTCGAAAATATTTGATGATGCCGAACTCGAACGACTACGACGTGAGGCTATTCCGTCGTCGAATGAATCGGCTATGGCTGGAGATGCAGCTCCACATTCGACAGACCAGCATCCACACGTGGAAGCCGCCATGGATCTTCCAGTTGTGGTTGATTCGAACGACGATGAAATAGTCTCCCATGAACTAGAGCAAATGAGGAGTATATTGAAAGAGGCGATTTTGGAAACGCGCAGCACCCCTCTCGAAAATCGACCGCGACTTCCCCGCATACCCTTAAGCAAGCGAAATCGGGCTGTCGTGAGGGCTCTTAACCCAATGCTGGTGACCTATTTGGAAGCCAGCCGGGACCTTTGCGAGACGGACTCGATTCTCTTTGGCGCCGCAGTGGCAGTTTGCCGTATTATTGGCGCCAAACTTACCATGGCTGGACGCGCTACTACACAAAGTAACGTCATCCCAGCCTGGAGGAAAAGAATCGAGGACCGTATCACAAAGGCAAGGGCCCTTATCGGCAGACTGACAAGCTTCAGGTCGGGTAATAATAGACCGAGGATTATGCGCACCGTTAGGATGGCGTTTGCTGGGACAAATATCAATTTGTCCCAGCCGGATATCACGCAGAAACTAACGGAGCGCATAGACGACCTGAAGCAAAAGATCGCTGCTTGGGGGAAGCGGATTCGACGATTTTCCGAGGGGTCAAGGCGGTTCAACCAGAATCGTCTCTTCCAGAGTGATCAGAAGAGGCTCTATAAATTATTGGAGCGGCCAAAGGTATGTGGAGCGGGCCAAGGACCGGATCAGGCTGACATTATCGCATTCTGGCGTGGCCTGTGGTCAGAGCCCGTAAACCACAGTGAGGGCCCTTGGATGGAAGTTGTGGCGAGCCAGGGTGCGAGTATTACGCCTATGGACCCCATCACCATAACGCCAGAAGACGTGGCTGAGGCGGTCCGTAGGGCCCCGAACTGGAAAAGTCCGGGGCTCGACGGGCTGCATCATTATTGGCTGAAGGGGTTCGTAGTGTGTCACGCTGTGCTCGCCCGACAGTTTCAAGAGGCTCTCGACCAGAAGTCACTCCCGAGCCTCTTCACTACTGGGATCACTCACTTGGTTCCTAAAGATCTGGAACTAAGGAACCACTCCTTATTGACGCGGTCATGGGCAAAGTGGTGAAACGCAACCGCCGGAACTTCTCTGCCGCCTGGATAGACTACAGAAAGGCGTTCGACTCGGTGCCCCATACATGGCTAAAGAGGGTCCTCAAGCTGTACAAGATTGACTGTACAGTTAGAGACTTCCTCGAGCAGTATATGGGGCAGTGGAATACGATCCTTTGTCATCTGGGCGAGCGAATAACGGCTGCGGAGAACCACATAAGGATAAGAAGGGGTATCTTCCAGGGCGATTGTCTGAGTCCAATCTGGTTCTGCCTCTCTCTAAACCCTCTCAGTACCTTACTGGAGGGCTCCGGGAGGGGATTTCAGCTACGGAAAGGAGGGACAAAAGTGACCCACCTTTTCTATATGGATGACCTCAAGTTATTCGCCTCCAGTCGCTCTCATCTTATGGAATTGCTCACTTGTGAATTTAGCAATTCCATTGGAATGGAACTTGGGACGGATAAGTGTGCGGTCCTCCATGTTGAAAGGGGAAGGGTTGCTAACTCTGAGAGCATAGACTTGTCTATGCCCGTCAACTTAATGACCCTTTCCGGGGCTGAAACATACCGATACCTGGGTATGTCACAGAGCATCGGTATCGATGAGGCTGGTATGAAACAGTCAGTTTGTGACGTGTTTTATGCACGCTTGACCAAAGTGCTTAACAACCTTTTGTCCGGTGTGAATAAGTCACACGCATATAACTGCTGGGTCATGCCTGTCCTCATGTATACCTTTGGCATACTTAGGTGGACTCAGACTGAACTTAACGCCCTGGATAGAAAAGTCCGCACTACCATGACGTCCCATAGGATGCATCATCCGAGATCGTCGGTAATGAGGCTGTACTTGCCGCGAAAGTATGGTGGGCGTGGCTTTCTGAGCGCGCTCACCATGCATAATCGCGAAGTGTGCAGTCTCCGTCAATACTTCTTGGCGAGATCGGATGATCCATTCTATAATGACGTCATTTCTAGTGATAAAGGGCTTACCCCTCTATTCTTAGCCAACGAACAATGGCAGGACCCAGCAGTGCTTAGCATTTCCGACCGGGAGACCGTATGGAAGGAAAAGGAGCTCCACGGGAGGTACTACAAGGCTCTACATGAGCCCTTCGTAGATACAGTCTCCTCCCTCAACTGGCTACGTTTCGGTGACCTCTTCGGGGAAACCGAGGGTTTTGTCTGTGCAATACAGAATCAGGTTATTAAGACCAACAACTTTCGGAGATACATCCTAAAGGATGGCACCGTCGACGTCTGTCGAGCGTGTCGCCATCCCGGGGAGTCACTCAGGCATGTCATCTCCGGTTGTTCGGCGCTTTCTAACTCTGATTACTTGCACAGGCACAACCTAGTAGCCAGAATTCTACACCAGGAGCTCGCTCTGAAATACGGTCTCGTGGACCGGAAATTGCGGTATTACAAGTACTTGCCGGAAGCCGTGCTCGAAAATGACCGCGCCAGGCTCTATTGGGACCGGGCCATCATCACAGACAGGACTATTCTTGCGAATAAGCCTGATATTGTGTTGATGGAGCGGGCACAGTCAAGTTTATTTTTGGTCGATATTACCATCCCGTATGACGAGAACCTCGTGAGAGCCGAAACAGATAAGCAATCAAAATATCTGAACCTGGCTCACGAGGTGACCGACATGTGGGGTGGTCTGCCGGCCGAAATTATTCCTGTAGTCGTCTCTGCGAATGGGCTAATCCCAGTTAGCCTCTCTGGTCATCTGAGGCGACTGGGACTCCGTGACGGACCGCTCCGGGCTCAAATGCAGAAGGCGGTGCTCCTCGATACTGCCCGCATCGTCCGCCGGTTTCTTTTCCTTTCCCCCTAACCCTTGGCAGTTTGGTCTCCCCTGCCGAGGGCTTCCATCTGGTTGGGCTTTTATTTATTTATGTATTTTTGTATTTATTTCATTTTATTGATATTTATGTATATTTATCTTTTCATTTTCGTTTATAATTATATATTTATACATCCCAACCAGATGAGAAAACTATATAGATACCCCACACATAATAATAATAAATAGATCAAATAAATCATTGGAGCGACCAGAGGTATGTGGAGCGGTCCCAGGACCGGATCAGGCTGACACTGTCGCATTTTGGCGTGGCCTGTGGTCAGAGCCCGTAAACCACAGCGAGGGCCCTTGGATGGAAGTTGTGGCGAGCCAGAGTGCAAGTGTTACGCCTATGGACCCCGTCACCATAACGCCTGAAGACGTGGCTGAGGCGGTCCGTAGGGCCCCGAACTGGAAAAGTCCGGGGCTCGACGGGCTGCATCATTACTGGCTGAGGGGGGTTCGTAGTGTGTCACGCTGTACTCGCCCGACAGTATCAAGAGGCGCTCGATCAGAAGTCGCTCCCGAGCCTCTTCACTACTGGGATCACTCACTTGGTTCCTAAAGATCAGGATACCACAGACCCGAGCAAATACCGCCCCATCACGTGTCTACCCACTATATATAAGACACTGACATCCATTTTGAGCGCGAGAATCTCTCGTCATCTGGAGCTAAATCAGGTGATATCACGCGCTCAAAATGGATGTCGGGGCGGTGGTCGTGGAATCAAGGAACCACTCCTCATTGCCGCGGTCTTTGGCAAAGTGGTAAAACGCAACCGTCGGAACTTCTCCGCCGCCTGGATAGACTACAGAAAAGCATTCGACTCGGTGCCCCATGCATGGCTAAAGAGGGTCCTCGAGCTGTACAAGATTGACTGTACAGTTAGACACTTTCTCGAGCAGTGTATGGGGCAGTGGAGTACGATCCTCTGTTATCAGGGCGAGCGGATGATGGCTGCGGAGAACCACATAAGGATAAGAAGGGGTATCTTCCAGGGCGATTGTCTGAGTCCAATCTGGTTCTGCCTCTCTTTGAACCCTCTCAGTACCTTACTGGAGGGCTCCGGGAGAGGATTTCAGCTACGGAAAGGAGGAACAAAAGTGACCCACCTTTTCTATATGGATGACCTCAAGTTATTCGCCTCCAGTTGCTACTATCTTATGGAATTGCTAAACATCACTTGTGAATTTAACAATTCCATTGGAATGGAGCTGGGGACGGATAAGTGTGCGGTCCTTCATGTTGAAAAGGGAAGGGTTGCTAACTCTGAGGGCATAGATTTATCTATGCCCGTCAACTTAAAGACCCTTTCCGAGGCTGAAACATACCGATACCTGGGTATGTCACAGAACATCGGTATCGATGAGGCTGGTATATGGATATTTATGTATATTTATCTTTTCATTTTCATTTATAATTATATATTTATAGAACCCAACCAGATGAGAAAACTATATAGGTACCCCACAATAATAATAAAATAAATATCTATAAATCATTGGAGCGACCAAAGGTATGTGGAGCGGGCCAAGGCCCGGATTTATCGCATTCTGGCGTAGCCTGTGGTCAGAGCCCATAAAGCACAGCGAGGGACCTTGGATGGAAGTTGTGGCGAGCCAGGGTGCGAGTGTTACGCCTATGGACCCCATCACCATAACGCCAGAAGACGTGGCTGAGGCGGTCCGTAGGGCCCCGAACTGGAAAAGTCCGGGGCTCGACGGGCTGCATCATTACTGGCTGAAGGGGTTCATAGTGTGTCACGCTGTGCTCGCCCGACAGTTTCAAGAGGCTCTCGACCGGAAGTCACTCCCGAGCCTCTTCACTACTGGGATCACTCACTTGGTTCCTAAAGATCAGGATACCACAGACCCGAGCAAATACCGCCCCATCACGTGTCTACCCACCATATATAAGACACTGACATCCATTTTGAGCGCGAGAATCACTCGTCACCTGGAGCTAAACCAGGTGACGTCCCGTGCTCAAAATGGATGTCGGGGCGGTGGTCGTGGAACTAAGGAACCACTCCTTATTGACGCGGTCATGGGCAAAGTGGTGAAACGCAACCGCCGGAACTTCTCTGCCGCCTGGATAGACTACAGAAAGGCGTTCGACTCGGTGCCCCATACATGGCTAAAGAGGGTCCTCAAGCTGTACAAGATTGACTGTACAGTTAGAGACTTCCTCGAGCAGTATATGGGGCAGTGGAATACGATCCTTTGTCATCTGGGCGAGCGAATAACGGCTGCGGAGAACCACATAAGGATAAGAAGGGGTATCTTCCAGGGCGATTGTCTGAGTCCAATCTGGTTCTGCCTCTCTCTAAACCCTCTCAGTACCTTACTGGAGGGCTCCGGGAGGGGATTTCAGCTACGGAAAGGAGGGACAAAAGTGACCCACCTTTTCTATATGGATGACCTCAAGTTATTCGCCTCCAGTCGCTCTCATCTTATGGAATTGCTCACTTGTGAATTTAGCAATTCCATTGGAATGGAACTTGGGACGGATAAGTGTGCGGTCCTCCATGTTGAAAGGGGAAGGGTTGCTAACTCTGAGAGCATAGACTTGTCTATGCCCGTCAACTTAATGACCCTTTCCGGGGCTGAAACATACCGATACCTGGTTATGTCACAGAGCATCGGTATCGATGAGGCTGGTATGAAACAGTCAGTTTGTGACGTGTTTTATGCACGCTTGACCAAAGTGCTTAACAACCTTTTGTCCGGTGTGAATAAGTCACACGCATATAACTGCTGGGTCATGCCTGTCCTCATGTATACCTTTGGCATACTCAGGTGGACTCAGACTGAACTTAACGCCCTGGATAGAAAAGTCCGCACTACCATGACGTCCCATAGGATGCATCATCCGAGATCGTCGGTAATGAGGCTGTACTTGCCGCGAAAGTATGGTGGGCGTGGCTTTCTGAGCGCGCTCACCATGCATAATCGCGAAGTGTGCAGTCTCCGTCAATACTTCTTGGCGAGATCGGATGATCCATTCTATAATGACGTCATTTCTAGTGATAAAGGGCTTACCCCTCTATTCTTAGCCAACGAACAATGGCAGGACCCAGCAGTGCTTAGCATTTCCGACCGGGAGACCGTATGGAAGGAAAAGGAGCTCCACGGGAGGTACTACAAGGCTCTACAT